TGATAAGTAGAGTGTCAAATCCACGAGAATTGTGCTTAATTAAGTACCAAAATAATTAATCTAAATTTATTTAAACAATAAAAAAAAAAAGAAACTTTAATTTAATAATAATTAAAATAAAACTAATCAAGAAATGAAGTACTAAAGCATTGATTTTACCATGATCAATCAATATAAATTTTAATTTAATATACTTTCAAAACCAATTTGTTAAGTGTTATTGTATGTGATGGCGGATTTTCCTAAATTAATTAACTAGCTTTCTCAAGTCAAGTTAATCCTTCGCTTGTTTGTTAAATTAGTCATTTCTCTATGTAATTTTAAACAAACCAATAAATATTAAATTCTATGGAAACCTCTAATTTCAGAAAGGGGAGCTTCTAACTCTCTTCTCTTCCTCTACTACCACATGTGAGCTAATTACCTCTTGGTTTCATAGTCTAACACATGGTTTATATTAGTATTGGTCTAATTTATGCAAATTTTTCTCAAGTTCATGCATAAAATCACTAAATCAATTGAAAGGTGATCAGACTTTCAATGCATTAAACTATATAACATAAACTCATCATACGAATAACTTTAATTGAAAGTATAAAATCACAAAATCTATAATAAATTGATTAGGCTACATTGTAACCTTAATAAAATAAATTAGTTCATAATAAAAATAATAAAACTTGAAATTGTAGTTATGAACATAAGAATATCAAGGAAGAATAAAACCCAATTTAAAGAAATTAAAATCCTTGATGACGGATCCTTTATCTTGATCTCCAAGAATGCTTAAAAGAAAATTGCCACCAGCCTCCCAAAGCTCTCTCAATTCTGAACTTGAATGAGTATTTATAAGAGTTTTTTTTATTATTATTCTTAAACTTAAATTAGCCATAAATTTCTTGTTCAAGTTCAGAATTGAAAGAGCTTGCAAGACTGAGACCTGTTTATTAAGGTTTCGAAATGGTCATAAAACATGTTACATGGGTCACCGTCGATTTCTTCCACTAGACCATCCTTGGCGTGAAGATGCAAAAGCTTTTGATAGAATAAGAGAACATCATCATGCACCTAAAGAGTTGACAAGAAAAGATGTGGTTGAACAATATAAGCTCTTCAATCAAGTATGCTTTTAGATTATTCTTCTATTGTGTGTGTGTGTATAAATATATATATCTTGACATCTCACATGGTGGGACTAACATGATAAGATTATACCATGATAAAAGGCATACAATGATATTGATACTATTTAAAGACTACCGATCAATATGTGATTTTCACTCCCAAAATAAAATTTGATTTTCTCATTTAGAAATCCGAAGTCTTTCTTTATATTTTTCAATTAATGATAAATAATCAATTAAATTTGGTATTTACCTTTCTATTCATTTTAGTTTTAATTTAAAAGTTATAGGTTTTTTTGAGAATAAAAAAAAGTTCAAAAAGTCAAGGGATATGCTAAGGGGAGAAAAAGATAGATTGGTAGCTATGTAGTTTATTAATTAAAAGGGTTTTAATTTAAAATTCTAATTTAGTCAGCAAATTTTTGCAAACATAGTATGCCACATAAGATGGGACAAATGGCTGATAATAGCTTTAAGAGAGATTTAACAAAAGGTTAAAAATCCGTTCAATTGGGACCTTATATGAGGATTTTGATGAATTTTGGATATTAATTGAGTCCAATAAAACATTGGGACCTTAATTGCTAATTTAGTTAAAATTTAGGGCCTTATTTGCTTGTTTTGCCATTTGGTAATGTGTTTATAACTATCAATTTTTTACCGCGTTTTAGTCTGGAAAGTTTCCTTTTCAAAGTGATGTAGTTGCTTCAAAAATCATATCAATATGGGCATGCTCATAACCTCTCTGTTAGAAATCTATGTCAGTGCTTACTTAGCACCACACAATCTCCTACACAAATGCAATGTGAACTATTAGTGATCTTGTTTTTAATTATAATTATAATTATTATAATAATTATTTTAATATATATTTTTTTTTTTTGGATTAGCGTTTAGCATCAATAACAATGGTGAGAGTTTTTCCTTTTTCCTTCTTCATGCTGCTTACAAGGCAGATTGTGTAGTGAGAGTTTAGATCCATTCTAGTGTGATATATTTGATGCTACTACGCAGTCATGTTACAGCATTGTTTCATTTCATTTTCAGCTTTCATGCCATAGCTCCAACATTCTTGACTATTGTTAATCATTTTATTATTTAATTTTTATGTATTCTTATTGTCATTTATGAATAATTTTATTAGGTGCCATTTGACAAGACAAGGACCAAAAAAAAAAAAGAGAGGGTAAGAAACATTACCAGGTAATTGGAGGAAAAAAGTGTTTTTATTTTTAGTTGCCATACTGAGAAACCCTTATAATACGGCATAATTTGGATGTCATGCATATTGTGAGAATTGTGTTTGTTAGTTTATTTGGCACAATAATGAATGTTAAGGGAAAGACAAAAGATACAATTAATACCCGTTTTGATCTAGAGCTTATGGGTAATCATCCTGAACTTTATGCGAAGTCAAAAGGCAATAATAAGTATAGTTTTTTCTTTACATGCTACACATTATCACCAAGTGAAAAAAAGGATTTATGTAAATTTGTACATGTCATAAAGGTTTCAAATGGTTATTCCTCCAATATTACTCATTATGTCAGTGAGAATGAATTTAATTTAGCTTGAATGAAATGTCATGATTGTCATATTTTCCTACAAGTCTCCTTCCATTAGCAATATGTGGTGTGTTGAAAAA